CTGAACTCGTGCTGCACAAGTTCTGAACTTCTCGTGCACAGCTGTGAACCAGTTCCGATTGGTGCAGGTGAACTCAACTGACCCTTAAAAGATGGAAGCTTGAAAATATGAAAAATTTGTTAACATAAGGTAACAGAGCAAATGTTTCGACAATCAGTCTTGTCTCCTGTGAGGCTACAGTGTCATTTGTCGGAACCCCTGGAAGCCAGAATCAATCTAAATTTGTTCACTACTGTATGACTCACGATCACTTCATAGTTAGCATGTGAGTCGTCAGAAATTATGAATTGCAAAATGAACATCCCCGCAGTGAGGGGCATTAACAGGCTTTCCGACATTTAGTTGTGCCTTGTGACAGTTTACGAACAACACCCAGAACTGTTTGGTCTTAACTGTGTTTAGCTCATACAAGTTTACAAAAAGATGTGTGAAAGGTCATAAGTCTGCACTCAATTGCTTTAGCTTTGCACATATGTTCAATGGGCTCCTAAAAATAATAAATCATAAAGGTGATGAGCCCTTACAGCACAGATTCCTCAAAGACGTGAATGCTGTCGTGAAGAGCAAGCTTGTGTTCATTGCACGTGGTACCGTTTTTTTATATATAGCCGAGAAACGTCCCCGATTTCTTTGAGCACATGTGCTTCTGTTTAAATTAAGTTGTCATAACTATAGTGTCTACCACTAAGAAGTGAAATCATGGGCACTACGGTCCTGAAAAAAATCTTGGAAATCGCACAGGTAGTTGAAACATACATGACCTTGACTTATTCACATGCCACACTGCAAGATAGTACTTATTTCATGTCCTAACCTCTAAAAGTAGCAGGGAGAAAACAACTTCAGCTTTCAAGCAAAAGTATACCGAAAAAGTAAACAAAATAACACGTGTGTAATAATTGTGACCTTTTTGATTCAGTATTCGGACAGATTCACATCATGTATCACCAATTGATTTCAGGAGTGCTTGCTTGCAAGAGAGTACTCAAGTTCTATTGATATGTCTATGCAAAAAAGAGATTGTGCTCAGAGCTGAGCAGATACTGTACTGCAAAAGCACTAACAAAGATGTACAAACAACGAAATTGTACAGTGCATGCCTAAAGCTTATTTTCTTAAAATTGGGTCTTTTCGATCTGTAAGCACACGCATCATAACTGTTCCTTTAGCATACATGTTCACTGCATACTCAGCAGACCATTCATTACTTGCAACGAGAAATTCTAGCTGTAGGAACTGTGAAACTTAACTCTAACAATAAATGTAGCAAGCCTGAAATATTTTTAGGCCCTGAAATATTTTTAGGCCCATCATCTAATACGTATTACTTATGATATGGGCTCACGGCTGAGAATTAAGTCTAGTGTCTACCCTGTCGACACGATGCGACATTGCACAACTGTGAAGTACTCAATGTAGCATAGCAGAGCGAAAAAAATTCTGAACTGCACGCATCCGTAATTGCTTATTTAACAAATTTAATAAAACTACATTGCTCTCACTGCGCGAGCTATCTATAGGCAATGTGCAAGTTTCTTTGCTGATTCCACATCATGCATTAACTTCACTTCAGGATCAACACTACAGGGCAAGCGCTGCATCTGACGGCAAAATCGGACTCTTGTCCTAAAGCCACGCTATTAAACTCGAGAGCCGCAAAACAATGAGAGCAACGTTCATTCAGCGATCTCGATGTTCACTTATATGCATATGCTTGTTAGCTTTCAAGAGTCTTTACACATGGGTTGAAAGCTTTCGATATGTATGAGTGACTTGTTTTGTTCGGACCCAACCGTATACATTGATTGTACCGGCTTGGACACTTGCAATAAACGATGCAAACCTTACTTGATTGACATTGTTTTTGCCAGTCGAGGCCAGCTAGGTCACCTGGCGATAATTACAGACGCGAAACGCGATTTAGTAACGAAAAAAAAATCAGAGGAAGCGAGCAGCGCGAACCAGCCGCGGCCACCCTCACCTGAAGCAAAAAAAAATGCGTCTGGTAATTGATGATGATAGCATTACCAGCACCATCTGGCCTCGCGGTATTGCAGTTCAGTAGGCCGCCGCTACGTATTTGCATGTTATTTTGATACAATGGCCCAAAGGTACAGTTTCCGTTCTCTAAACTGGTAGGTGTTCTGTGATACAAGTTTGGTATATGTGAAGTTAGTGAAATGCTTAGCATGTATTCGCGTTCTATATGGCATGCATATTATGATTGTTGTGTTAAGATGTGCCATTTACCTTCGTCATTCATTCACGTCTCGTAATACTCGATTTGGTATACGTGAAGCTAGCGAAACAATCACGAGGACAGCATGAGCGTGGCATGTAGTCATAACTTACATGACATGCATGGCATGACTTCAACGTTAAGGCCAGTCCCTTATGTTCGCCATGCAGTCATGTCATACCATACAAGTTTGCAAATATGTTAGGTGAATGAAACCACCGGAAGAGCATCAAGACCATGGCATGTAAAGCATGGCACTCATTTCATACACGTCATAATTTTCAAGTCAAGACTAGTCAATTATGCTCGTCATGCAGTCATGTTATGCCATACTGATTTTGGTATAAATTTCATTATCTAAACGGCAGGGAGAGCTAAAAGACGTAGATAGATAGATAGATAGATAGATAGATAGATAGATAGATAGATAGATAGATAGATAGATAGATAGATAGATAGATAGATAGATAGATATGATCAAAGTCGCCAAGTGCGCTAATAAATGCTTCGTATTTCGAAACTTTGTTTGGTTCACACTACACGCGAGTTAACTCGACGTCACCTGGCTAGGCCCACTCGGGGACAGTCAGGTTAAACTTGACGGCCTTCGACCGGGTCCTCTGGGCGGTTCATAATTATCTAAGAATGATGAAAACAGACATTGTTCATTCAATAAAGATAGCGTTAAAAACTTATTCGGTACCGTTTACCAGACAAATGCAAAAACTAAAAATCAGGACCCCAGCAATGAATCTAACCGAAGCGTTCACGTGGCAATCAAGTAATTTACTGCCGGGCCACGCCAGGTCTCGAAACTGGATTAGAGAAAGACCGATATGCAGGCTATCGGTGAACTGCCAAGCCCTTTTACATTGCAGGCTGCTTATTTCTATGAACATTACATAGGTGTTTCTATGATGCAGGCGTTACATTGGGTTAATGTGAATTGTTTATTTAGGTGCGATCCCCTAAAGTTGGTCTATGTGGCACTAGCCAGGCACGAGCAATACATATCAGCTTACCGCTTCTGGCGCTGGCAATACTCCTGCTGCTGTGGGAATCATTACCTGCCAGCTGTAAACAACTGGGTATATAGAACTCATGTGACTGTTCACCATATGTCTATGCGTACAACATTTGTACATTTCTTTAGCATCGTTTCGTAAGGTACCACTCAATCAAAATTTACACCAATGTTAACTTTTCACCGCAGGCTTCGCACAACATCGAGCCCCATGGTACATAGGATCTGCCGAATTTATTTCTCAGCTCGTGTTTTGCCACGCTTTAGCATTCATTAACCTATACCAATACGTATTGCCATGGACAAATAAAACATGGACAATACATTACAAATTAGAATACTTTACGCTAGTGACAACCTACGAACGCTGCCATAGACCGCTACTTATCTGGTTGCCAAAGGTAGTTGAGGCCTGAAAGCAAGTTTGCACGCCGAAATAATTCTGACATTGGGCGTACATTGAAGCGAGAACGAAAGAACACATTTTATCTAACGTGTCCCTATATCATATGTCGATGTCTGTACCATTTTCTGTTTTCTTCCTAATACTTGTGCAGTCACTCTTTCTCACTATTCATTCCGTATGAAACTTCATCAGCAAGGAGCTCCTTTCAAATAAATACACTTTTCGTGTTTCCGAGGCAGCTGGTAAAACAATTTACTTGTCGTCACACAAGCAAAGCCAAGACCACCCAGTGTTGGAAACGAAGAAACCTTTGATAGATCAGCCACCGTGGCGCCGGTCGCAATGCTCAGCTGTTCTTTGGCGTCAATGATGATTTTTTTTTTATAGGACTGCCAGCAACGCAGGCCTACCATGCCACGAGAGCACCCAGACTTAGCTGCCAGATGACACACGTCAGTAGAATTGCCGCGGCAAACAAATTAATAGATGAATAACAGCGTGACGCAAAAGGTTTCACAAAGTCACAACCAAAACAGAATGCAGTGCTACTAAATATGACGGAATATGCTTCGCATACCATGCAGTTTATAGCACAGAAAAAAAGTACCAAATCAGATTATACTGAAACCTTCATAAATGATCAGCTACAGCGAGGATCTTTACGAAGCATTGGGTGAATTTCAGGCAGTGGTGCATGAATTGGTCAAAGCATGTTCGAATCATTATGTTTAAACACAGAAATAGGCTCTCGCTGCTTTATGCATTCCAAACCTTAGGAAAAACGTTCGCACATAAGATACCGCGACAGGTATGATCGTCCAGAAGAGAAGAATTTTCGGCTAGTTGGTTTGTGGCGTTCATTGAAGCCATAGCGCCGAAAAGGCAGGGGACCAAGTATATGTCCGCCTATGTCTTCTGAAAATCGGGGATTCAATGAAGGCCATAATCATATTCATATCGTCCTAAACATCATGCTAGCTGTCCGCCTTGCGTAATGTGTCTTGGCGCCTGTTTTAATGTTGCACACGGCGCTCCTCTTTTTTACTCATCCGCGGTTATTCAGATTCTATATTCACAAAAATAGGCGTAATGAGCTCGGAACTCGTCTGGCAGACATATTGTTCTAGAAAAGAAAGATGCGTGTACGTGTACGCTTTTATCACGTACTTACATGTGCGCGTTTCTTTGTTCTCATTCTTGGAGTATGAAAATGCCGACAAACGCACACAAAAAAAGCACACAAACCTGACAAAATGAAGCAGATAGCGAAGCAAAATAAATGATAAAAAAGACGCTGGCAGTTCTATAGACGTGTCAATTTATTCGTTGACGTGGCCGTACAAGGCTGTTTCATCAGCAGCCATATCGTTGCCGTTCGTTCAGCCAAAGTGCGCCAAAATGACCATGCACCTAAAGTACTTTTTTATGAATGCGTTTTTCTTCGTCATCGCGGAAGCGCACCGCCGTGGAACAATTATGTTGCCTGGTTCCACCAGGCCGCCTGACTTCCCTAAATGTAGCAACGGTACGTACACATTGAATGATTGAATTACCGTCTCTTGCTGAGAAAAGGGGGTGTTGCGCCACTCCCAAGTGCTTGAACCAACCGCCTCATATTTCCACGAAATATCTTGGCACTTAAAACAAGCCTCTTAGCACTTACATGAAGTACTTGAGAGCAATTATATGATGGGGTTTTACGCATGCCGCAGTCGGGGGGACTCTGAATATTTGACCACCTGGGGTCCTTAGGCGTGCACTCATATGTAGGTATACACTGGTAACAAGATCTTAATTTGGGTGAGTTGGTTCATCGTGGTTGTGCTCTAGTAACACCGCAAAAACTGCAGGAAAAGACAAAAAAAGGGGACGGAAAAGAGCGCTGACTGTGAACTGAGTTTTATTGAAGGTGCTACGACCATTTTTGCACAGGTGCAAGAACAGTGCTCACACGCGATGACACAGGTGTGACCATGACAAAAGAATCTTGACTGGGAAAAGAATACTCTCTCTCTCTCAGAAAGCAGAAGTGATGGAATACTTATGTATTGATCCTTAGCCTTCTTGATAAAAAAATGCTTCTATAATTTGTCTTTCATAATTTGTTCATGAATTTTTTCGAAAACCGTGTTTTATGAAACATAGGACTGCACCTAAATTTTTGCAGTGTATGGCCATGAAGCTACAATAGCCTTTCTTGACGCTTAAAGCATGCTGCCTTGCTCAGTCATTGAAGCATTGCCCAGTTTGCCCTATGTGTTTTTTTTTCACGTGTCAACGGTGTCTAACAAACAAAATTAGACTAGCATTCAGTAAACATATTCTCATGACGAATGCTGCGAGATTGACTACTCCTGTTGCTGTTTAGAACGCACACTTTTGAAAGCTTGCAAGGGGTGGAAAACAACAAGTTAATATAATATCTGCTCGCCATTTTTTGAAATTGTGAGATACCTTCTGTATGTACAATATTTCATGCAAAAGGTCATTGGTCGTTTTGTTTTCCTTTTGTTCCTGTTTTGTTTACCTTAGTTTCTGCAGGAGGGTTTCGCAAACGGGTGTGATGATGCTGTTGGTATATCCAGCATCTTTTAGTCTTTTATTGTGGCTTTCAAGGTAAACCTCACCATTGTGCTCACATGACTTTTGAATGGGGGCCTGAATACATGTGGTGGCAATTCCTCTTCTTAGTAATTTTGAATGCCCCCATTCCAAAGAAAGGACGTTATTAGCACTCCTAGGTTGATAGCACAAGCAAATATAATTAATATCAGAAAAAGCAAGGTGAAAATCTAAGTACTGAATGCCATTGTCTCTAGGCAGTGCAAACGTAGATTTGAGCCCCCAGTAGTGCTTTTTGAAGACATGCAGCACAGCTTCAACGCTGTCATTAAAACACAATTGTCCAGTTTTGTCAACAAGCACAAGGTAATCGTCAACATAAGGATACACTCTGCGTACAGGTACACATGCAAGGCTAGCAGAAATGCGTTTATCAATAACAGATAAAAAGATGTCACAAAAAAGTGGGGCCAATCATGCATCTATACATATGCTGGTGCGCCAGATTAAGAATTGCTCATCGTATTTGATGCTTGTGGAATTAAGATAAAATTCTAAAGGTGCAATAAAAATGTCAGAGTTCATGCCTATAATGTACTGAAAATGCACCTCCTGTTTTTCTAAATGTTTCCTCACAGCAAAAATAAGGTCATAACAAAGAAGCAAATAATAAAAGTCCACAACGTGTATTGAAAACCCTGCCACAGAACAGCAAAATGCTTTCAGTAGTTCATGGACAGTATTGCAGGAGCTCCTTACGAAGAAGGATTTTTGAAAAGTCAAAATTTTCAAATTGTCTTGAAGAAATCACCCTACATGCTTCTGCCATGATGTTCTCTCCAAAACAAATTTTAGAACAATATAGGCATGAACACTGACACTTTTATAACGCTTTTACAATTTTACCTCAATTAGACTACCACTAAAACAATGGGCAATTCGTAATTCAACGCACCGGCATTTGTATAGATGGATCATTGGCGCCACTTCTTTGTGACATCTTTTTTTATCTGTTATTGACAAACGCATTTCTGCTAGCCTTGCATGTGTACCTTTACGCAGAGTGTATCGTTATGTTGATGATTTCCTTGTGCTTGTTGAAAAAAACTGACAAAGGTGTCTTATTGACAACGTTGAAGCTGTGCCCAACGTCTTCAAAAAGCACTACTGGGGGCTCAAATCCACGTTTGCACTGCCTAAAGACAACGTTATTCACTACTTAGACGTTCGTCTTGCTTTTTCTGATATTACTCATAATTGATGGTGATACATCAGCCCAGGAGGGGTAATAACGTCTTTCCTTTTGAATGAGGGCATTCAAAATTACTAGGAAAGGAATTATCACCACATGTTTTCAGGCCACACTTCAAAAGTCATGTGGGCAGAAGGATGAGGGCAGCCTTTAAAGCCACATTAAAAGACTAAAAAAATGCTGGATATCCCAACAGCATCATCACACCTATTGGCGAAGAAACTAACGTTAAACAAAACATAAAAAAACGACCAAAAACGTTTGCATGAAATAACGTACATACATGAGGTATCTCACAATCTGAAAAAAAATTAGTGAGCAGATATCATAATAACTTGTGGCTTTCCGCCCTTTGCAAGCTTTTAAAAGTGTGAATACAAAACAGCAACAGGAGTAGTCAATCTCGCACCATTCGTCACGAGAATAGGTTCACTGAATGCCAATCTAATTTTGTTTATGAGACACAGTTGGCATGTGAAAAAGTGAACATAGGACAAACCGGGCAATTCTTCAATGACCGAGCAAGGCAGCATGCTTTAAATGCTAAGAATGGCTATGGTAGTCTCATGGCTGTACATTGCAAAGAATGTAAGTGTAACTTTATGTTGCATAAAACACGTTTTTTGAAAAAAGCCAGAACGAAGTATGAAATAGTGATTATGGATGCATTTTTATCAGGAAGGCCGAGGATCAATGCACCAGTACACCTTCATTTATCCTTTTCGAGATAGAGTATTCTTTTCTCAGTTTGGATTATCTTGTCATGGTCACACATGTGTCGTCGCGCATGAATATTGTTTTTGCACTCTGTACAAAAACAGTCGTAGAACTTTCAATAAAATTCAGTTGACAGTCAGCGCTATTTCTGGTCCACTTTGCTGTCTCTTCCTGCAGTTGGTATGCTGTTACTAGAGCACAAACTATATACACTGGTGTTCTCTCATTTTGACTCCATCTGAAAGTCGCTGCCATGGCAGGCAATAAAACCCACCCTCGAGATTAGCAGCGTTGCTCCTCACCCTCTAAATTGACATGGTGGGTTAACATATTATTGAAAATACAAAATGAAAAAAAAATCTTGTGAGGAGCACAGTCAGTGCTTTGACAAGATGAAGCATAACAGCAGAAGTTGTCGCGCATCCTTCCAGGCTTAACTGTCGTTTTGGTCCTTACTGAAGTTATTTTTGCTCTTAGACGAGTTTTATCTTGTAGTTTGTTCACCCGGCATGTGTTTCCTTGACGTCACTGATCGAGTATCAAGCACGACAAACAACGCGACAAATTATATAGGTGTTATCACCTCCAGTAAAAATGGCGTTAGCGACGGTGCGTGTCACTGAAGGCACTGGCTTCAGCGATTTCACCACAAGGGTGACTTCAAAGCAAGAGCTTAACGTCGATCTTTCTTCTGTGTGAGCGATGCAGCTACCTTGTGGAGGACGCATTTAACTACGGGGACATTGTGCATGTCTGCCGATATTTAGTGCAACAGCTTATGACAGTCTGGATCATGTCGCAACCAGGAGACTCATTTTGACATAACTTAATATGGTCTTTGGTATTAGGTTATGCCGTTTTATTTTCGTAATTGAAGCGGAAAGACATAAGTTACGGGCTGTTTCAAAAAATCTCTCTGAAAATTTTCGAAAATCAAGCAAATAGAACATGCTCCCCATGCCATCTGACAACATTTGTTCGTTGTCACACACGTCTAAGGAGGACTAGAGACGTAAACTAAGACAGTATTTTAAAAATAAATGAATAACTGTTTAATTATTAGAAACAGGAGGTTGGTTTGACTGAGAGAATTTACTACGAAGAGCTCATTGCCGCTTTGAGAGTTAAAAAAAGCGGTGTCTTGTGCAATCGAATTTTACATAATTCATGGGCGAAACTGAAAGCGACATGACTACGGGCGCAATCAGCAGACGACCAAGATGACGTCTCTTCTCATGACAATTACCGCTGTGGCGTTATTTTTTTCTTGCATTGGTTAAAATACGCACACCGTGCGCGCCACAAAGCGTAGCCCGTGCACTAACGAAACAAATTATTCTTATGGGTCGATGGTTGATATGACGACGCTCGATCATTCTAGAAGTCTCGTGAGGGCATGGCAGTGACGCTCATTCTCGTTTTGCTTTTGCGGGTGAAGTTTGTGAAATTCGCTAGCTCTGCTAAAATTAATAGGAACGCTTTTTGGACATCTTAAAGCGGGAATGTGTTCTTTGCCGGGACCACTTCAGTTCCCTCGCTACCCAACTGCCTGTCTACACTGATCAAAAATGTTAAACTTCAATTTAATTGCGGCCTTAATTAATGTAGCTAGTAAAATGATAATATCGACTTCCCACTAAAACGTAATTACGAAGGCAGCGAAGAAATGCCCCACTTTCTTTATTATCTGAAATTTTTGGACAATTCGTTAAATACCCTCTACATGCCCTTAATTTTCCTGTGTCCTATGGATATGCTTTTTTGACATTGTAAACATTGTAGCTTCTGCATTTGAAGCCGCATGTTTTTACGTGCATGTGGGTGGCATGTGTACGACGTATCACAACCACAACAACAATAACAACAAAAAAGAAATATTAGTCGTATATTCCTTAAGTTGCGAATTGTTTCGACTGCCAAAAAATATGAAAAGACGCGGGGAGGGGGAGGAAGTTGTGTAAAAAATATTAACTATTTTCGCCACCGCTTTTTTA